ACCGGTGCGACTATAGTATAAATAGGCGCCGGGAGCACACATCATTCACTTCTTCATCTGAAGCTTGCGTCTGCAGCATGGCAAGAAACCTAGAGGATGCAGTGTCTCATTCCCTATTCAGGGAACCATGGTTCGATAAGTAACCTGAGACGTTCCCTTTCATGGGAACTTCGAACTGCATAAAGTCAACAGGCTTTTCAAAATCCAAAATATTGCCAAACAGGCGCTTTTGCATCTCGTTTCGAAACTAAATCATCCGCGATCGTCTTGTCTGTCTCACCTCACCTCACTCTTCTTGTCAGTCAGCTTGACTCACTCTCCTCACTGGAGAAATGAAATCTGATCTGTGATGCGACTGTCGTTCGGCACGCTGCATTGAGCAGCCGCGTTCAGTTTTTAATTGTAGTGTCTGTTCTTTTACTGAACTAAATGATTTTTATTTCTATAAAAAATCAAAACGACGGTGGGGGTCGGTGACGCGGTGGGCAAGTGACTTAACTGGTGTTGCGGCTTAACACCGGTATCACCGTCAACACCGTCTATCGCGGCAAGCCTACTTAAAAGCAGAACACATTTTCACTTGTATCCAACTAATCACTGCGTGGTAAACCAAAATAATGCCTAACAAAAAATAACTGAATCGATGTCTTGTATTGATCTTGCATTTGTATACATAAAATATACATATATATTTTTTTTTACCTGCTATAGCTGTGTTGGAGCACTGGTATATCTGCTCGGCCCTCTGTTCTCTGCCTCCTTGGAAAGATGCCATGCTTCCTTCTCTGTATGCTGCGAAGTCCTCCAAGCCATGCCTCCTGATGTGAACGCTAGAATCATCATCCCCTAAGTACTGCCCCTTGAACAAGTCCAGCGACTGGTCCTGGCTGGCTCGCAGGCGCTCGTGCGGTTCTCTAGTGCAGATGTTCAGGAAGTTGTTCAGTGTCTCTCCTCGAATGCGTTTACAATGCTGAGAGTCAGATAAGGATAATGATGAGAGCGTGTCTACTTCAAAGTAGTTCCTGGAAGCTTTTGGCAAAGCATCTGTGCTTTGCTTGCCTCTTTGCTTGTCCTTCAGTTTGGACAGAGAGTTCTTCTCGAGTCTCTCATTCAAGAGGTTGAGGAAGGCAGGACTCTGCGTTCCACTGAAGAGCCCGCCGAGGTCCTCCCTCTGTGGGATGTACTGATCCTCTTTGTGTTTGTACTTGTGCTTGTGCTTGCGTTTGTGGAGACAGACACTTTCCATACAGCTGCTTGAAGGGTGATGGGAGTTACTCATTCTAGATGAAGGCATCTCATGTGGCATATTCTTCACTCTATGTCTGCTAGGAGCAGCGAGACTAGAGGACACACCAGGGTGGAACTTTGGTGGAGGGACTGGTGACCTCATGAGAGGAGAGGCTGAAGGTCCAAGTGCGTGAGATAAGTACAAGGGTGAAGAGTACTGACCGTAATAGCCCATGTTTACCATACTTGTGGCAAGAGGCATGGATGTGTAAGGCATCGCGTAGGGTGCATAGTAATTGCCACCAGGCACTGGGCAGCCAAACCCTTGAATAAAAGGCATCTTTGATATTGGCTCGTTTGACTTGGCTGGTCGACCACGCCTCCTCTTTGACTTATCGGAGCTCCTGCGAAGATAGTGCACAGGGTCGTAGGGATAGTATGGCATAGGATAGCATTGGTCAAAGTTGAGACGGAATATGCTGGGATAGGAATTCTCATGGTAGAACTTGTAGCTGCTGTGGGAGATTCGGAAGACCTGGAATTTGCTAACCAGCTCCTCCAGGTCAGCCATAAACTGCAGGTCGTCCCGGTTCTGGAGGGCCTTGCGTTTCCTCCGATGTTTCTGCTTCTTCAGGCTCTCCTGAGCAAAGAAATTTTCCACAGCGACTCCAGTCATATGCTTCTGGTAGTGCCCCCTCGCTGCTTTGCTCTTTGCCTCTAAAACAGCGGTCTCAGCGGCATCAAAACTGCAAAGATCAAATGAGTATCTCCGGCGGGATGCCGGGCCTTTCTCGGTCTGGTCTGATGTGCTGTTGTTGTCAGTGCCAATTCCACTATCGCTAGGGATTGTCTCTTCACTGTGGGACTCGCTAACTGGGGATAGGGTGACTTCTTTGATGGAAGCCACTTCAGACAGGTGGGATGGTGAGTTGGCCATTAGTCTCGGGGGAGAAAACTTCCAGTTACTACTAAGCAAGCCCTTATGCGTTTTCATGGGCAATGCACTGATAGGCTGTAGATTTGGCATTGTCTTCAGGTCATGCTGGCTGGTATCCGTGGTGACAGGGTGAGCCATCCCACCTGCTGCAGAGTGAGAAGAAAGAGAATGCATGACCCTGGGAGAAGGCATTCCGGTTGTGGATGATGTATTAGAAGGCACTAGAGGGTTCTCAAATGGACTGGAAATAGGCAACGGGTGCTTATCACTGGCTTTGTGCTCATTCTGCTGGGTATGAAGATCGATTCTGGGCTTCCTTCCCCGCTTTTTGCCTATGTAAATAGTTCCACGCTTGCTGACATTGATTTGCTTGCCAAAACGGGCCTCAATTGTCGATGCCACAGTCGACATGGCATTTGAAACCGGAACACTGGACTTCAAGGCAAGATTGCCAGGACTAGAAGTGGTCAATAGCTCATTCAAAATGCTCTGCATCTTAACCAGTTTCATTTTCTTAGTTGCCCTCTTTTTAAGGACACCTTCTTGACCTGATTTCTTGAGTTTTAACTGCTGTGCAGGAGGGGATTTGTTGAAGGCCAACTGCACCAATTTCAACATATTATGCTTCTTTCTCCTTTTTGAAGTGCTGGATGAATCTTGGGCGATAGGGCTAACGGGGCTTGTTGCAGTTCCTTCGTGAATTGTCTCCACAGTAAGTAACGGCTGTTTTTTGGGCCGGCCACGTTTCTTCTTGACTGGGGTAATGACTGTCAAACTGTTTGTGTTTGTGTAGAGTGGGCTGGATGGGGTAATAGGGAAGGCAGAGGGTGGCTCTTCAGTGGACAGAGATTGATTCAAGTCTTTTTGAGGAGAGGAGTTCTGGGACTTTAAATAAGACCACCTGTCCTTGACCTTTGATTGCCTACCCTCTGTTTGCTTGTCGGCATCAATCACTGATCTTTGTCTCCCAGCTGGTGTTTTCCTGTGCCTATTCTGAAACATCTCAACATAACCAGTCATCGTCTCAGCACCGTCTTCCTCACTCTCCCGCAAATTTACACCAAATTGTTTTGGTGCACTGAATCCTATTTTCTTTGTAATTTTAGGTTTTGTGCTCCCTTGGTCAGTTTTATCAGTCTTCTCAGCTTGCTGTGTGGTTTGTGCATCAGATAAGTTGTTATCGTCACCTACTTTTCGGTTTCTTCGCTTTTTACTTCTAGATTCATCTGCATGATGAGTGCCACAGCTTGATGTCTTACTCTCATCATCTGGTCTATTGCTTGCCTTCTCAGGCTCCTCTGTCTCAAATTCACTTTTATCAGTGTTGAATGCTTGTTTCTCCTTAGCACTATCTTGGTTTTCGGTATCTCTGTCCATCTTTTTGGCCCACTGAAGGCCTAAACTATGTGTGGTCTTCATTGGGTCTTTTCTTCCATATTTACGTTTCATGTTCCCAAAAACTTGCTCAGTGACTTCCTGCAAACCTCTGTCTTTACCAAAAGAGAACAGACTTGAGTCAGCTGGTGGGCTCATTACTGTATCAACTGGAGATGATTCTAGTGAGTCAGTGCTTGGGGAAGACATGGCAGAAGCAAAGAGACTTCCCGATGAACTGTCTGTGACCTTTTTAACTTGCGATTTTGAGAATGGGGTGTTGGGCTCTGACAAAGGGCTCTTGTTGGTGCACACTGATTCTCGTTTTGATTCTGGTTCTGTCCTGTGTTGTTCTTGGGACGCTGCATCTTCAACAGTATCCAATGGCTTTGTCCAGTCAAGGTGGTGAATGTCACTGCTTTTAGACTCATGCTTTGGTTTTGCGTTATCCATCATCACATTGTCAGTTTTATCCACAAGTTTATAATGCCTCTCATAGGTCTGAAAATGAAAGACAAAAGAAAGAATTTAGAAAATGGACCAACATTATGTCAACATTATATAAGCATTCACATGCTCTTCATATTCTTACACTAGGTAACTTGACAGAGAAACATTCACACCCTATATAAAAAACTAGAACTAGGAACCTACAAGTTGTTACTGATAACAACTACTGTTTTGCTGCCAAGTTCTCAGCTTGTGGGCCACACCTACTGAAAGCATATAATACTGCGCACTATTGTGCAAGCCTTTGAGACTTGTGGTTTGGTCTGTTAGAAATAACGTATTGCAAGATCAGCACTTGATACTAGGATATGTTCTGTAGAGCCATCCTGTTTTCAAAGCCAACAGCTACAGGCGGTAATGAAGTTTAACCACAGTTTTGTTTTTCAGCAGGTCACCTTCCATTTCAGAGCCCTGCAGCTGAGGCTAAGACAGTCTATGCTGCGGTTTCAGATTAGTTTACATCTGGGGTCCCAGTGTTTTCAACAGGCTCACAACAGGAAAGAGACAAAAAAGACCAAATGCAAAATGCACCTTTAGAAAACACTGCTTGTACCTATTTATGTTACAGCATAAAATGAAAGATGAAAAACAGAGAATAAAAAAACTGTTAAGAACCACTGTGCAAAGTGTCTTTAAATGTTTAAAGCTTAAAGAGCTTTAAAGAAAGTTGTAGGAATAAGTTGCTACTTTGGTACTCGCACATCTGATTACATCAGTAGAAAATAATTTTGTCTCCTGGAGTCTGGTTTGTTTGGGTCAGAGCACAGCGAATGAAAGGATTTCTTACATAAACCAAAGAAATGCATGGAAAGACAAATGTGGGAAAAGAGTTTAGAAGAGTTTATGTAAGTGCCCTTGAAAGATGACATCCTGGAGTGATGAAAGAACTGTCTCCAAACAACAGTGAAAGTGAGATGAACTGAGCCGAACGAAATATAACAGAGAAAAAGCAGACTACACTTACAATGGCATGTCTTGCTTGATGTAAAATTTTAGTCACTTTAGGTATGATTAAATAATGACTTAACTGATGATTGAAAATCTGTAAACAAAAACAACTAGATTTTGGATGGCACTTGTCCTTGTAAAATTTGCCAACACCGTGCAAGGGTGTTGTGGGTCATTTTCAGGACAATCCTAAGTGGTTTCTAAGGTGTTCTAACTAGGGCTGCCGCTAACGACTATTTTTATTTCGATTAATCTATTGACTAATTTATCGATTAATCAATTAATCTGAACGATTAATTTCCCACAAAATATCAACAATTTTACTTAAGAATATTTTATTAAACTATTTTATTAAACCAAATGAAATCCAAATTTCTATGAAATCCTTTTTTAAAAGCAAAAGTAAAGTGCAACAAAGTGCAAGAAGCAAGTATCCATCTCATAGTCATGAAATCACTGAAATCAAAGTTCAGTATTATAGTGTAAGAATGACAACATATCCACTTGTTCTAGTCTACTAATAATAAAATTATAATCAAAAAACACTTTTTAAAGGAGTATTTACCAGAAATGTTATTTACCAGAATTTATTTAGGAGAAAAATGTAAATGTAAAGTATTTCTGAAAAAAAAAAAATTTTTTTTTTTTAAATAAGATCAATTAATTGGAGATGCTTTTGATTATTAAAATTTATTGGAACCATTAAAATGGAATCCAGAAAATAATGGAAAACAGAATTCCACTTAATCTTTAATATTTGGCCATTTCTTTAGGACAGAAATGCTATAGCCACTGTAATTAAAAGAATATGTGGACATCAAAACGTGTAAACTCAGAGTGAGTGTTTGAGCTTTTATTTTGAAACCGCGATGTATCCTCCTGAGTTTGCGTAGATTTATAAATGATTTACCTTACAAATCTGATGAAATGGCGCACGTTGCGTTCCCAGATGAACGTTATAATAAACCCAAACTCACAACAACATGCAGAGATGGAGTTTGAGACGCTCCACACATGTAAATGATAACTGTTCCTGTGGAACTACTGTGGTTTAATATATCATGCAGCCTTGGGAAACGGTCTAATAATGTGTTTTATGGATTCTCGTCCGTGAAATGCGCCACTTCCGGTATTTTGCCGGTTAGTCGACGCGAGCAAAATGAAGTCGAGGATTTTTAAAAATTGAATAGTCTAATAAAATCGACGAATCACGACAGCCCTAGTTCTAACGTGCTAATACATGTTAGCTAGTAAATGTACTCTGACCTATTGAGAGCTCAAACCTGGCTAGTAACATTTCCCAATTCTGTTTCTCTCTCATCACTACCTAATTTTCCTGTTCTCCACTGTTTTATGAATAGTAGTGCCAAAAATGCAGGAAAAGAACTAAAAAAAAGCAAAGATTTATCTGGCAGAAGGAGAACTGTAGTTTGGTTGTCTTTTTAATTTATTGCTCTTAAAACCAATTTGAGAACCACAGGAGCTACCTTTGACAGGTTAAATGACCACAGACAATTATGCCGTCCATTTGCAAACCTTATAATGGTGACCTGCCAACCTCTCACACTATTTGGAAGAGCTTTTTTGTTCCTTCTCTAATCAGCCTAGAGTAATGCATCACTTAAGTCCTCACCAGCTCTTGAAAGAGCCAGGCAGGCAAGACTTTTATCTGCCATGCACAGCCCTCACCTAAGATTTTTCAACATGCTTTGGGAAGATTCGCATATGTGCGTGTGTTTCAGGAGTCATCCCTCAGCCTAATCCTCTCCAATATCATTCAATCAGTAGTTTTTAATTAAAGGGAAACAGACATTAATGAGGGATCGCTCCTCTGCCAGCCTTGTCCTTTTTATTTCCCCCATCTGTGAGAAACTGCATCACCTTTCAGATTCCTAATCCTGTAATCCTATGAGGAATTTGCGGTCTCCCCCAGCCCACAGGATACAGTCTCCGCTGTTGAATGCCAAGTCTCCTGGCCGCCCTTTAATTTGCCTAAATGGCATTATATCCCCCCCGTCTCCAAAACAATATCTGAGGAATATGGCGTAACCTCTGCATTGAGGATGTCAAAGCTATTCTACAAACTCACTGGGAAACTCGATATCAGTTTAAGAGAGTGACAAGAAAGAGCTTTCTCAAATCCAGGAACTATTCCATTCCTTTCACCAGAATAATTTGTAATCTGACTTGAACGAGACATGTAAATGGAGTTCCCTTTTAAATAACAAGTGTCAAACGTACAATTCAACTGAATTAAAATCAGAAAATGAAAGGAATGAAACTGGAGACCTTGTTCAGCACTTTTACGTTACAAATATGCCATTGCTTGGTGTAAATACACCACTGAATATTGTGTCAATGTGTTGACAGTGAATCCCTCACCAGATAATAAAAATCTCTGCAGTCATAAATGACTTATGAGCCCTCTAATGAGCACTTCCTTATCTGTTGTAAACAGAGCAGCAGTTCTGGCAGAGCCACTGGGCAGTCTGGCGCAGTAGGCACCAAATCCTGGCGGACACCATTGCACTCAAAGCCCAGAACTGCAGGAGACGAGTCAGTCTCAGACCAGATAAACAGACAGGGAGAAGGCAGCTGAGATTACGGAGTCCCTTGCATGATAATAAGATAGGTTTGGCATCCTGACGGCGCCCTCGATACCCCCTCTCTCCCCCGTCCATTTTTTGCTAGCTCTTTTTGTTCTGTTAATTTTTTTCCCCCTCCATCACTGCCATGGTAATTGGTCAGCCAAAACCTCATTGGCCTCTTGTGTGTTTGGTAACCATGGGATACTGTGAGTCAGAGCCACCGAAAATAGACAGAAACGCAGCAGGCCAAACATGCACCTTTGCCTGACTGATACCCGGCCAAACTCGCTCTACCCTCCACTAAATCCTGCCTGTACTGGTGCAAGAGCTCAGTTTGCCTTTCAGACTGACAGATGAGCAGTCCACGAGTCTGATGCTGGATCAAGACAGCTAGCTTGGCATGACTCTGGAAGTTCGGACACTTCCAAACATTGACAAACGATGCAACAACACTCGAGTAGCTTGTAGAAGCAGAGTCGCTACACAAATTGCAAGCAGCACAGCACAAATGCAATATTGTGAGGGGTCATTTCTTCTGTTCACCTCATCCCTGCAATCCCACAAGCTTTAATGGTTCGATTAACATGACAGCAGGTCAGCTTTGTTTTCTGACCAAACGGCGGTGTGCTAGCCACAGGGCTAATTGGTCAAATTACAGTCTTTGTAGCTGGTCTCAGTAACACTTTCTGAATTGGTTAGTGAAAGCCAGCTCTGACTTGTTAGACAGCTCTCATGCTGTGGTGGCCTTGGGTAATGTGACACCCGGTCGAGGACAACACACAACTGGATAGAGTGTCAATCACCTGATCTGGAAAATCTAGCTCTAGTTACAGGACTTGAGGCATAAATCCATCCTAGAACAGTCAAAATGTCCACTAGTTTGATTACCAAGTAGGAAAGTCAATAGAGTAATCCTGTGTGGACATGTCTGAGAAGCCTAGATTTTAAAAACCGTATTTAACTGCTTGACACAAATCTAAAAGATTTAATAATGCTATCAGGAGCGCTTCATAAAAGCCTCATAACTGTAATGGTAATTTTAATTAAGTCTCATGATATAGCAACAGATCAAATATCCGTTTAACATAACACACTTTATACAAGCAGTTACAGTGGCAGCTTGTATAAAGTGTGCATGTGCTCATGACGTATATTAATGATGTGACACGCACCTGCTGTAATATGCAGATTAGAAACCATGGCGGGGAAGAAAGCAATGCATTTCTGTGGTGAATTGCATCACATTTCTATGGCACCGAAAAAGCACGGAATACAACCATTCAAAAGTGTTTTGCATTAGACGTAAATAAATTAAAACAGCGGCCAGTAACACACCTACTCTTTCTGAGTCCATCATTTGTGCTCTGCAGTGGGGTATGTGAATAATGGCGGTAAAAATTAACCACAATTCTTAGTGAATAATACAGATAATGGAAATTGCATGTAAACTGGAGT